AATACAGGACTATCACATTATTACGTTTGAATTCCATCACGGAGTTTCAATAGAAAATGTACAATTTTTGTATTCCAGTAATATTGATGCACGAATACAATTTAAAAATTGCGTGGCGATAAAAAATTCTCGTTTCCGAACTTAAGCAAAAAAATATTAATGAATATAATAATAGTAATTCGTGCATCAATATTACTGGAATACAAAAATTGTACATTTTCTATTCAATTTAAGATTGATAATAATATTTTTGCAATAAAATGAAATGGCGTTCGTCCATTATTATTTTTATTTGGTCTGAACTTCGAACTTTTTGTTATATGATTTTATGATACGAGCAACATTTTCTTTGAAATTTAAAATACATTTTATTTCTTTATTGGAAAAGTTTCACCCATATAGTATATACGAATTACATTTTATAATAAATATACATAATTGTGAATCCCATAGACCTGGGCTTTTTCGGTTTGCGGCGCCCTCAATATATCAGAATTTTTTCCGCGGAGACCCAACTCAAAACATTGGTCTAATTATTATCTAATTTGGATAAAAGAATATATGGTACTCCAGCACCTATACTCATGGACTATTGTTTATCAATTTCCAAAACCAACTCTGCTACATAGTTAAAGAATTTCATTGAAACAATTCCTTTCGAAAATTCCTACGGAGAAGCAAACTATTACCAATTTCATTATTATTTTCGCACAATTACACAAAATATTATATATAGATTTTCTTTATGGAATGAAGTCCAAGTTCCCTTACTTTTTTTTGGGTTTTCCCAAATTGAATAATCTATCTTTAACTAGTAAACATGTATACTGAATAATAAACGGGAATAGAAATTACGAAATTATTATCTGCAAAAGGGGATACAGATCAAGAAAAATCCAGTAAATATCCTAATAATGGAACGAACGTATTTTTATGAATATTTTGCTGAAATCCAGTTTTAAAGATGAAATTACTTTTGAGCAATAAATTGCAGATGGAGATTAAAACCATTAAACTTTAATCTCTCGATATTTTTTTGTTTGTGTTGCATTTTGACTTTCCGGAAATAGGAAAACTTAAACACCAATTGATTGCTCATTAAATATTACCGGATATAATTAAACAAACTACGGTCTAAAGCAGTGGTTCGCAGAAATTTTTCTACCTGGTCCGCGACAACATGAATTAGATTAATTTATTAAAAAAATATGAGTTTTTTTTCTATAATAACGGTCAGCGAAATATTTTTCATATTTTAGTAGGTGTAAAAAGGTTGAAAAATGCTGCTCAAAACTAAATAGGAAAACATAATATCTTAGAAAAACACATGAGACTTATTTTTCTAATATTAATTTCATAATTTGAATTTACAATATGCAGAATAGCCCAACTGCTGATTTTATTATTTACAAGAAAAAAAATTATCCGTGATGGAATTCAAACGTAATAATGTGATAGTCCTGTATTTGAGCGGAAAACCAAATTTCCTATTGTTAGTGCCTCGAACACCTCAATGTGAATAAATCTTTCATGTCTTGAATCATAACACGTTATAACAAAGCTAGTAGTATTACAAAATGCTATTTTGCTATTTTCAAGAAGACTCAGCATCATCACACAAAGCACTCGAAAACCAACAATGGCTGAGAGACACTTCATTTCGACTTTTCGGTATTCGTGAATGGAGGAAGATTCCGCAGGTTCACATTTTTGCAGCGTGCGACTTGCTTGTCGACCAAGCCATAGTTCACGCTAAAAGAAAATACGTGATAAGTAAACTCGAACTTAATTTCATAAACATTATTTTTTTCGGTTTTCCATCAAATATATATACAGCGGGATACGAAGCTTCTGCATAATTATCACAGCAGTTCTTCAGTAAGCAATGAAAGTCTCTATAATTTTTTGCCTTCTGTACACTTCGGTGTATGCACAGCATCCGCCCAATCCATCTAAGTTAGCCGAGATGGCCAGGTACATCATCAACGCTGTCGGTGAGTACTTCGAAATCTATATTTAAAAATGAAGATGTTAAATTTGATATTTTTGAAAGATTGGATTTCCATTTCTACTATATCTACATATCCCTCTTTTGAGACCTATCCATTCTCAAATATAATGTCCGTCAGCGATGGACCAGTTGGTAAAGGTGCTGGAACACCATATTTCCTCCTGACACATTTAGATCTATCCGCAAAAGACCTATTGGTAATAAAACACTAATGGATTACATTGGATTTTATTAGTTTAATTTCAGGAAGATAATAGGACTACTATAGTGGCCTCTTTAGCACAGGTCAATAATTTCTGCAATAAACAGTCATGGGATCCTCAAGATCCTCGCTGCGGAAAGGTGATGCTAGTTGGAAGAATATCAAAGGTAACATTTAGCAACATCACGAGGTTATGACATATTCTAACGTTCTTTTAAGGTAAACCTTGATTCCAGTGATTTAGTAGTGGCAATGGAAGATTTTATCACAAGGCATCCTACTTTGAAGGGTTTGATCAATA